GAGTAGTAGCTATTATATCAATAGTGCTGATTCCTTTCTATATCAATGATTCTCGGGCATTACAGAAAGAGGTACTTTCACTGACTTATGTTGTTATTATGACTATGAGGATAGATACGTGATGTGAATTATTATATAACGAGCATAAGGAGACGATTAGATGATTATGATGATGGTGATATTAGTGATGTTAGGAGTATGATTGATAAAGCTGTTGTCCTAACATCATCGGCCCAAAGGGATATTACTCAGTAATATATGTATACTACTGCTGCTACTGCTGATAATAATGAGGGTTGCAGGTTTAAGGAATATGTTTCTAATGCACCTACACCACAGGATGCTATGAATCGACAACAAATGTTGAATAAGTTTACTACTAGTATATCGAATATGGCTGAAGAGTTAGAAGATATAGTTAAGAAGTATGCTAGCATGAAAAAAGAAATAAGTGCTGTTAGTCGCCAGCAATATAGTAAAAGACAACAAGATAAGCAACATACTTGTGGTAGTAGTGGGACATGGTATATTAGGAGTATACTCAAGATGTTGTTCAGGATCCAGTACATCATCATCATCAACAGCAACATCTAGGAGTTCATATCATCCCACGCTTTCGCAGAAGAATACTGTAATATGATGTATATGATAATGTGATAATGATGATAATATTAGGGTGAAGATACGAGAATAGCAACGAAGAAGAGCGAGATGCATAACATCAGTGGAGACCATCACCATAAGGTTATAGATCACTACTATGATAGAAGTATTAATATTATTATCACTTATTCATCCTAGTTACGCATTACTCCTTCTACTTCTACTACTGCAGCATTGTTACCAAACCTGATGACTACACAACGACAAGAAGTAGAGATGAATATAGATGGTGATATAGAAGACGGATTATCTAGAGATAAACTTAATGATATAAGAAGGATAGGAGCTGATATGGGTGAATTACAAGATATCTATACTACACTTAATAATGATATACTTAAACAAGATGATAAGATCGATAGTATTCATGATGCTATGTTGAGAACATTAGATACCACTCAGAAAGCTAATATTGAATTACAACAAGCAACAGATAGAAGAGATACCTCACTTAAACGTAAGGTATATGCATTTACTGCATTAGCAGCAACAGCTGGTCTGTATATACTAATATCATCTATATAATTATATATTCAATAACAACAACAATATTCTTATCATCGTGTTATTCTTGTGTTGGAAGTGACTATGATGATTATTATTATGATAACAGTACTAATACATTGAATAATGTTATTATTCCATATCTTTTTATGTGACTACTATCATATCTATGCAGATATCACCGTATATACTCCCATCATCTCATTCACATGTGTCTACTTAACAAGAAGAAGAAGAGTACTTTACACTAACACATCAGTTATCTGAGTTCTTACTGCACTATATTGACTACTATCGTAACTCAATAACCCTGTACCCGTCAATAGTAGGATGAGATATATCCACTTCAGGATGACTACGTAGTGATGATTACCATAGTAGTATTATACCACTAGTATACATCTTCTCTAGTATCTATTATCAATGTGGGAATGAGTGCCATTATGTTTCTTATCGTGTCTCTTAACGAGATAGACTGTAGTAGACATATTATGGTGATAGTGTTGCTGGCGTTGATGAATCGACTTAGTACATTAAGAAC